TCCTCCTCCTCCTCCTCCTCCTCCTCCTCCTCCTCCTCCTCCTCCTCCTCCTCCTCCTCCTCCTCCTCCTCCTCCTCCTCCTCCTCCTCCTCCTCCTCATCCTCCTCCTCCTCCTCCTCCTCCTCCTCCTCCTCCTCCTCCTCCTCCTCCTCCTCCTCCTCCTCCTCCTCCTCCTCCTCCTCCTCCTCCTCCTCCTCCCTCGTGCGCACGCAGTGGGCGCCTGGTGGGGCCCCCACAAGCCCCCTCCCAAGCACTCGCCAGCAAGCAGTCTCGCAGGGCCCCAGCGCCCGGGCGGGAGCCGTGGTCTCGAGCAAGGCTCTCCCTCTGGCCTCCCCGCCCTTTCTCCCCCCCTCCGCGGAGGCGAGGAGGGGCGGCGGCTCGGGGGGCGGGGGGGGCAGCACAGGGAAGGAGCAGCCCCCAAAAAGCAGGCCGCCGCCCCGCTCCGCCGCCCCGCCGGAGGTCCTTGCCAGGGGGGCCAGGTCCGCCCACTCCGCGAAGCGCGGCAGCGCCCTTGGGGGCAGAGGAGTGGGATTTGTTCAACCGCGAGTGACTCTCGGTCAAGGGGGAAGGGCAGAAAGAGGAGGAAGAGGAAGAGGAAGGAGAGGAGGGCCGAGGGCGCCCTGTGTAAGCCCAAGGCGCATCAGCGATGTTTGGAATAAATCCTCCCTCTGCACAGATCCCTGCAATAATGCGTTTTCGTTGCGGGACGTGCCCCGTGGAAAGATAGCCGTCTGAGAGTCGTCCACCTAGCCAATAGCCATTCCTGGGAGTTCAACGTCGCATACCGACTTGACTAGTTCGTCCTGGTAACGCAAAAATCGTGCCAAAACGGCATTCCTGGGACTTCAGAATCGCGAATCGCAGTGGCGCATGCGTCCTGAAAATGTTTAATCGTGCCAGAGCGTCATTGCTGGGACTTCAGCCATACGGCACCCTGAAACGTCTGCACACTTTGAAGTTTAAGGTGAATGCACGCGGCGCTGAGGCGAGCACTACAGCGCCCTCCATCCTTGAAGCGGTTGCAATATGCCAGACCGCATGTGCGCGGCGCTAAGGAGAGAGCAACAACTTGAAGCCCACCCGCCCTGCATGTTGTTGCTGTTGTTGTTGTTGGTGTTGTTGGCGTTGATGTTGCTGTTGATGATGTTGGTGTTGTTAGTATGACTGTTGTTCTTGCTGCTGTTGTTATTGTTGCTGCTGTTGTCGTAAACTGCTCCGACGAGTGTGCGTGGTGCTACGGCGAGAGCAGCATTTCGAACACGACCTGCCCTCCATCTTTGGAAAGGCGTGCACACGTGCAAAACGAACGTGCGCGGCGCTGAGGCGAGATCATCAGGCTGAAACCGGCCCGCCCTGCGTCCTTGAAGGCGCCGCACACCTCAAACTAGGATCATACACCTTGCGGAAATATCAGGCGACACGCCTGGCCCGCCCTGTGGACACGTCTGGGGGCGCGGTAGGGAGGATATACTTATAGGGGAGCAGCATTGGTGATGATGAGGAGGAGGAAGATGGGGAAGAGGAGGAGGAGGAGGGGGAGGGGGAAGATGGGGAGGAGGAGGACCGGACTATGAGGAGAAGGATGAAGATCGAGGGTTGAGGACAGAGCAAGCATCGATGAGGAGAGTGAGGATCGAGAATCGAGGAGGAGGATCGAGGACCGATCCTCATCATCCTCCTTATCCTTTCCTTCCTTGAATCCTTCTCATCTTCGTCGTCAACGTTGCCGTCATCGCCGTCCTCCCCCCTCCTGCCCGCTTCCACCTTTTCCTCAGCCTCACAACCTCATCCATCACCGCATCATTACCCGCCTCCACTCATTCCACTCCCTTTGCCTTCATCTCCTCCTCCTCCTCCTCCTCCTCGCCCTCCGCAGCTTTCAATTCCCCCTCCGACTCCCCCTCGTCCTCGTCCTCCGCCTCCTCCGCCTGCTCCTGCGCCTCAACGCTCTCCCCTTCCTCGTCCTCATCATCGTGGTCATCGCCGTGTTCGTCGTCCTCCTTCTCCTCCTTCCCCTCCGCCTCCTCCTCCCCCTCCGCCTCCTCCTCCTCCTCCTCCTCCTCCTCCTCCTCCTCCTCCTCTTCCCCCTACTCCTTCTCCTCCTCCAACTGCCCTTTCCTCTTCCTCTTGCCCTACTCATCCACTTTCCCCCCCCCTCCCCCCGTTCACCCCGCCTCCTCCCTCCCCCTCCCCTCTCCCCCGCTCCCCCCCCCTCACTCTTCCTGCTCTCCCTCCTCCTAGGCAGCAGCGCTCGGTTTCAGAGTCGGCGGCGCATGCGCGGCAATGCCTGCACGAAGCGCGGAGCCAGGATGCATTCACATGTTCCAGCCATGGTCGCCTGCCCACACTCCGGGGGCACTGGGGCCCAGCAACACCGATGCAGGCCCTCCCCGGGTGAGCGACGAAAGAGAAGGGGGTCTTAACGTGCGCGCGACGACTGGCAGCCCTGGGCGGCGGCTGGCACAAGCCGCCAGCACGGCACACCACGTGGACAAGATGGCGCCCAGAAGCGGCCGCACGCGGGTAGCTCACTTACGCGCTGGTGTCAGCGCAATCGCCCCCGCTTCTGTTCTACGCCACTCAGGTGAAAACGTAGCTGCAGCCGAAGTTTTGGCGTGAGGGAGCGTGAGGGACCTCGAATGTGGAACAGAGGCTCTTTCGGGGACCCAACGGCGCCCCTATGTGCGCATGAGGAAGGCAGCCCTGGCTCCCTTCTGGAAGCACCGTCGCCATGGCTCCAACGCTTCGACTGAGGGTGAGCGCGAAATCCTCGTCGACCGTGGTTGATTATCTAAGATTAATAAACCTGGGTTCATTATGTTCAAATGATACCTTCATTGGATTATTGTCCTGTGGATGGATCGGTGTCCCTTCCCCTCGCCGGATCATTTCCATTCCGGAATAATGCATCTGGGGTCGATATTCCGACATAGCGAACCAGGGTTGATCCCAATCCAAACTCATTCTCGAACGCCCCCCCCTCCGCCAGATCGCCATCATTCCGGAAGAATGAACCTGAGATTTTTATTACCAGAATATTATAAGCCCCAATTTATGCTGTTCTAGAGATAACGGGCTAAGGTCAATATTCTTACATAATGAATCCCAATTTGGAGGCGCGGGGTTGGGGGAACATAATTCGCCGGCCCGACGGGCCAGAGGCGTGCTAAGATCTCCGGTAAGTGCTAAATCATATTTCTACTTCGCGCGCGCGGGGCGGCCCCTGGGGGTCCCCGGACGAAAAGTACCCCGGGCGATCCCCGGCAGGGTCGGATCAGAGATGGTTTTCCTCCTGAGCTCCGTCCCCGTAGCCCTCCAGAGAGCCCCAAGAAGGGCCACGAGGCCGCCAAGAGCCCTCCAAGATGGTTCAAGAGTGCTCCGAGATGCCACACGATCGTTCCAAGACGCCCAAGATGGCCCCCAGACGCCCCAAGAGGCCTCCAAGAGCACTCCCCAGAGGGCCCCAAGAGGCAAAATTCAGTACTTTTCCTTAGGTTTTGGGCAGATTTTGGCATGTCCATCTTTTCGGCTTCCCGACGCCCCAAGACGGCCCAAGAGGCCCCCAAGATCGCCCCAAGAGGGCCCAAGAAGCTCCCAAGAAGGCCCCAAGATGGCCCAAGAGGGCTCCAAGACGGCCGCAGAGGCATCCAAGACGGCCCAAGAGGGGCCCAAGAGGGCCCCAAGCGATGCCCCAAAGGGGGACACAAAAGAAAACTTCGAGCCCTCGGCCTTAAGAAGCCCCCAGGAGGCCTCAAGAGGCCCCTGAGAGGCCCAAAAAGCCCCCAAGAGGCCCCCCAAGCGACGCTGAAGAGGCCCCCCAGCGGCCCCAAAAGGCTCAGTCATGCGAAATGGGCCGGCGGAATGAGCGAAGCGATTCAATAATTAGAATTTTTCCGGAAGCATGAATCCAGATGCAGAATACCCGCATATGGCTCAGGCGACGCCCCTCGACCTCCATTATTATCATCCCAGAATAATATAGAGACATTAGTAACCACAGTCAATATTCCCAGAACGTTACGAACCCAAATTAACATCTTTTTGAGGTCGGCATTCCCGGAACATTATAAACCAAGGCTTATAATGCTCTGGGGGGAACATTATGAACCCCAATCAATACGTCCCGGAACATTTTAAACCCAGGTTCATCATGTTCCGGGGGGGAACATTATGAACCCTGGCCAATAATCCCGGAACGTTATAAACCCAGGTTAATATTTCGTTTGGGTTCGTCCTGCTTCGACTGTAACATCGTCGGGCTCCCGACGATTATGATCGGCTTCTGCACTGGTCGGGCAAACACTAACACGGATTACGGATCCGTAGATCTGGCGCGTGAGCGCCGGATCCATGGATTCTGAAAGGTATCCCCGAATCATGAAAACAGTGCCGCCTGATTTGGCGAAAGACGGCGCCGATTCTTCATGGAAGCGGGACATGTCTCTCATCCACATGCATTACTCCAGAATTGCGTTTCCTCGAACAGGCGGCACGTCCGGGGGGAGTGATAAAAGACGGGCCTTCTCAGCAGGCTCGGAAATCTCCCGGCCTTCCCCGAAGACACTAAAAAACCTCACAGACGTCAGGAGAGCTTCTGAGAAGTCCCGCCGCCTTCTGAGAAGGCCTTCTCCTTCTCACTTCCCCCCCTCGCTCGCCGCCGATCGAAGTGGGGAGGGCCCGACTGGTTGGTCCTGGGCGCCCCTGATACTTCGTTGGACGAACGCCCACGATGTTGATGTAACGGCCCTGCCGTGGGCAGCCAGGCCCCTGTCGCGCACGTGCTGCTCGCCGCTCGGTCGCTCCGCCTCGCAGCACAGAAGCAGCAGGCCCCGTGAGCCCCAGTCTTGTTCACCGCGGTATTCAGCGCATCATAGCATCTCCAGTCGCTGGGTGCCAGGAAAGGAGGCGTAGGGATGCGGGTGGTGCGCCATGCGGCGTCCAACGTGGCGAAACTCGCACAAGCATAGTTACCTTCCAGCGGAGCGCAAGCTCCTGCACCATCAAGCACCCTTCAGCTTTAACCACATTTTCTCGAAGAGACCGCGCTTGCGGTTCAAGTTGACCTTTTTTTTCTTTGCCGGGGCGAGGAAGACAGCCCACGTTAAAATGCCGACCAGCATGAAGATGCCCACCCATCCGCCCAAGCCAATCCCTTCGGGAGGCAGATCTGCCTCTGCCTTAGTCTTCGCAGCCTTCGTCTCCTCGGCTGTGTGCTTCTGACTCTCCTTGATGGCCTCCTCTAACTCCCTGTAGGCCCTCTTCTTGGCCTCGTCGGACCCGGCCGTGAGGATGTCCCTGGCGAGCTCCTCGGTGTACTGCTCAGCTCCAGCGAGGTGCCCCTCTGCGACGAGCATGGTGGCAACGTGCCTTCCGTCCATGAGCCAGACGTCGGCCAGCACCGACGCCTCGCCCAGCTCGCCCTCGCCCGTCGGCTGGACCTCCTCGGCGGCGGCCTTCCACCAGATCCGCCAGCACCCTGGGGCGCGGAGGCCCCGGGAGGCGGGGCGTGGAGGCCCCGGGAGGGGGGGGGGGGGCCCGGGAGGCCCCAGGAGGCTCTGACTGCCCGGGGTGCCCCGACGGCGTCCCCGCCAGACGCCCCAGGGGGGGCCCCAGAAGTGCCCCGAGGCCCTCAAGCAGCAGCGCGAGCAGCAGCAAGCAGCAAGCAGCGGCCACGCCGCAGAACCAGCAGCTGCAAGCGGCCGTCGCAGTCGGCAGCAGCAGCAGCAGCAGCAACGAGCAAAACAAAACGAGCAACCCCTACAGAGGGCAACAAGCAGCAGCGTGACTCAACCGCAAGCGGAAGAGAGGAAGCATGGAGGGGGAGGGAAATGGGGGGGAAAAAAACGGTTAAAACGACCCGGGAACTGAACCACGGGGAAGCAGAGACAGACCAACGATGAAGTGGGAATGGCCTGGGACGAGGGGAAGATGCGACGCAGGTGGGGGAGGTGGAGGAGGGTTACCAGGGGTGGATGTGGAGGAGCAGTAACAGAAACGGTGACGAGGAACAACAGGGATATAAGAAGGAGAAGGAGGAGGAGACCATCCGCATGCAGGAGGAAGATCACGACGAGCAGCTACAACTCCAACAACAAGCATCATAAACATAATACTAGGAAAAAGAAGACGAAGGTCGACGACTACGACAGGAGCCGGGGGACGTCATCGACAACACAACGGAAGACGACATTATTACACAGCACAGCTCCACCTGCATACCACTGCAACTCTTCGACGACTCACGCGCAGAAAAACAGCAACAGCATGAACGCAGACGCGAATCACCTGTCCAAATATACTCAGAAGAAGGCACGCGAATCAGACTCACTGACCTATAATCTGGAATACCCCCATCACCACAGACTCCACAACATCAGACACCAACACGGGGCCCAACAACGGACATACAGTCACCACCAGAGGGTGACACACCGCGATACGTCAGCACACGACAGCAGCAAGAGACAGCCAAGCAACGCGACGAACTACAACAATTTGGCGAAATACCACTTCGAACAATACAACGCGCGGTTACCGTCATGTCGAGTCCCAGCCACCGACCGCAGGCCTCCCACTCGCCCCGTAGGCATGCACCACAACATACACCGGCATAGGTAGAGATCACGGAGGCCACAGCAGAAGTACCCCCACTCCACGAAAGGCCACTAGGACAAATCAACTAGCAGCCGACTTAGCCCTAGTGGCAACATAACTGAATACAAATGCGCTTGGGGTGCCGTCCCACTCCGTCAGAGCAGCCAGTGCTCGTCTCGCAGCGAAATTTGCACGTGACTCGACCCACGAGGCCAGCACTGTTGCACCTTCTAGCTTACGGACTCCACTACCTAGTTCCACAAGTGACCAGACGAGGTGTACACATCACCAAGATAGAGAGCAACGACAAGCAAGCGACGCATATCCCCACCACAAGCAATCACCAACAATACCCATCATCTACGACAAGGCATTCCACAACACTTGACCACAGCCATTCCTCAATCCAGCAAACGCATTCAACTCAAATCTGCCTGATCCAACAGCATCCTGCACCCAGCCACGCAAGCAACGCTACAAGCCTACAGCCAACCAAGACCGAACATCACTTCACTTTGATGTATCCTGGCGGTTCACCTTAACAAGCCAGATCCGACTCAGCATGGCAATACGCGGTCATGCAACACGACAAGCCAACTCCATTTTCCCACGGATAGTGTACTGGCAGCATTGCACACAGCACCAATAACATAATCGGCCTCGACAGCACCAACATGGAGCTGGGCACCATCGCCTGGGCCATCATCTACGCCACACAGCAGACTCCTCATCTTCACAAGCAAACATGCACGGACCGAGCTAGTGTACTACAAATTCGGACGCAATTGGCACACAGCGGTAACCCCAACACCAGGACTGTTCAATAACTATACCAACAAACACGGCGGACCCATCGCCTTACACTACGCCACATTCATGGACATGATGACGACCCATGGAATGAACTAGCTGACGCACTTGCAAAACAAATTGCCATTGTGCACGGTAATGCAAGCAATGCACTCACAATGGCTGCCGACTTAACGTTTCCATATCCAGACCGGAACATAACAATGCCATTAACCGGCCACCCTCGACAAAACTAGACTACCGGCCAAAAAGACCACAACACTATTCTTGTGCATACTCTATGATACAGACCGACAGCGTCCACTACCAAGCGCACGCTTCAGGGGGGCAAAGAAACACTTACCACTAATACGACTCGGAACAATAGGCAGCAATAACGACCACAGCAATAACTTTCGACCGGCGACACTGGCACCTCGACATATCACCTCAAACTGGCGACTTACAATGCCCAAGGAGCGAGCATGGATGCCCCCAACAACGGACACCAAACACATGGTCGATACACGTCCTACCACGCGACTCGAGGACAACGCTCACGGGCACAAGCACTTTTGCGGAAGGTCCACCTCATGGGGATGCAGGAGGCCACAGCAAGGAGCGACTATAGCACATCAGACATTATCATGCAGTTCACTACGCCTCAACACCCATCCAAGTTCGGATGCACATTACTGGTCAGCACAACCATCCCATACGCGACTGCGCCAAAACAACAACCATACTTTCAATACGCGCATTTCCGAATACTTCATTCACCACACCGACTGCTCATCGTCAAGCTCCCCGCGTCCCTCATCAGCGGTGTCAGTCACGCAGCGCACACACCTCGCTCCCAGAACGGCACTAGACGCACCGCCAGACGGTGGAAAGCCTGTCACGAGCTTGCCAACGCTCGGCCTCCTGACATCATCCTGGCAGACTTCAATGCACGCGTTTGTACGAACATCGCACCATACATTGCCAACATCTCACTACCTTCACACCAGCAGCCCGAAAGCAATGACAAAGCAACAAAAGTTCGACTTACGGCAGCAACACACAATCTCACATGCGCCAGCGCGATAACCAGCCGCGAGCCAACGTATACGATGCTGAAGAAGATGGACGGCACGACAACCAAACATTGGAACGACTACGTAGCAATCAATAACGACTGGATGCCATTCACCAAAGACTTACATGTTGACCACCAACATGACCTAGCAACAGAGGCCCACGACCACTACCAAGTATACGTGATCATTGAACACACAAGCCACCATGTCAAGGCACACCACAAGCAACCGGCATCTCATGACCCAACCAAGATGCAGGGTCCAGCACTGCAAGCACAACTTGCGAACTTAAGAGACATGCAACCAATCCCACAATGGGATACACCATATCAAAGACCGCCACCAAACGATTACTAACTTACTTCACGCAGCGGCTACGGAGTCTATCCAGCAGCTGACCTTACCCCACGCCAAACATATACAACTAATGATATAATGAAGCTGATCGGATCACGCAGGTGCGCCATAGGTGCACTACGACCAGAGCGGTAAAGACATGCGAGCAACATTATCTACAAGGTCAATCACGACACCGGCCAATATTTAAACGGGCAAAACAGACCAAAACATACGGCAGCTACACCTTGCGCTACGCACTGCTACGCACGACAACATCAAATGTGGACAACAAACAATACGAGCGCTTCTCGCAACCACACGTGCACCACTAGCACGTCAACTCAAGCGAGGCAGAGCGAAACATACCGCAACGCTGGCAGAATCCTCTTCCAAGAACTACACGACACCCATGAACGCAGAATAGCATGGCAACGCGCCGAACCAACACTACTATTTCACAGCTGGGGCCGGGCAAGTACTCAACAACGAGTAACGACAAGGCGACGAACTCACCAAACACTCTGCAAAACAACACGAATCAGAGATCACGGACCTCGATGGCACCAACTCGCTTTACAACAACGCCAAGAACGCAACGATCACTCCGCCTATGCTTTCCTACGTGATGACACGACGGCGCGCGATCAGTCCCATCAGGTAAAGTAAGCCGTAGGGAGCAACCAGGATTCGACATATTCGCCACTGACCTCCTCAAGGCAACACCTACCAGCACAGCCAGACGCGCGCGCCCTCCACTCATCAAAGCATAACTGACGCAACAAAAACCTGAACTCTGGTGGCAAGGCGCTTCAAAACCACTGCGCAAACGCCATGGCAATAACCGTCCAATGCCGATCCATCCGCCTGGTCTCAGAGATTGCCTACGCTACACTTCATTTTCCGAAGACAGAACCTTGGCACATTTCTGAGACAAAAAACTGGCCAACACAGCATGGAGGGAGGAGGAGGAAGAGGAGGAGGAAGAGAAGGAGGAGGAGGCGGAGGAGGAGCAGGAGGAGGAGGAGGAAGCTTTCGCAATACACGCAACAATCACGACCGACTGCCCCGGCAAAAAAACGAATGTCCGACCGCTCGATGCCCCATCGATTTGGCAACGCCCGTCCGCGCAGTAGCGCGCGAAACAAGGTTTGTAAACCGTGCGCCCACGCAGCCCGACGACGCCATTGCAACGCACTGCCAACAAAACGGCTTCCCACGAACTCTTGCACCAGTAGCCGAAGCCACATTCAATCTACCAGGCATGCTCGACACGCGCGACAGTGACCACCGCCTCCAAACACATATACTGATTGAAATCATCGCGCAGGCCGGGGCAACGTCTGAATATCGGATTGTGGTGGCGAGCCTGCCAAGCAGAGTGGCACGGCGCATTCGTGCGCGATCTGCCTCAGGCAACCAGGGAACCGAAGGCCCCGAGCAGCATCAGCCGCAGCGACAACACCGCCGTCGGCAATCTGGGGGGCGCCTGAAACGTCAGAGCATGAGGCTGGGGTTGGGGCCGCCGAGTCAGCTGGATGAGAAACGATGATGAGGGGCTTCGCCCGCCCTTTCGGGAG